ACACACACACACACACACACACACACACACACACACACACAGGCATACAAACACACATGCACAGGGATGGAAAGTCAACCCCTCTGAGAAAATCTTTGCCCATCTTTGTAGAATGGGATGGGGGGGGAGAAGGTGACAAGAAAATCAAAGATGAGTTGGAAACATTAAAGAGATTACGGTATGATTATAAACTAACTTTCTCAAGATTTTGTTTTCCAAATCTAAAAATCTCTACACGTAGGCTTTTGTAATTAATAAAGGAAATAAATTGCTTTGAACAACTGGCAGTTGTCCTTTCCTGCTGTGTCTTGAGATTTTGCATCTATTAGGTCAATAATCCTCATTTCACTGGTGTAGAAAACAACACGAGGACCCTGGGGTTAACCCAGATCTGTAGATTCATCCCTATATCCAGCAGGCCTTGAAAGTCAACAGCAGAAAGAGAGGCCGTGTGGATCCAGCCAGGTACTGGAGGATGCTGCATACCAGACAGTTGTAATCAACCACAGCACTCTCCAATAGCAGAGGTGACTCAGGGCTCTTCACTCTGCAGTCTGTCACCCAGACTGGAAGCCAGGCCACATCTGCATACTCAGAGGACAACTAACTACGAGAGGCCACACATGGACATGTTATTTTAATGTGCCTTGTTAGTTTAAGCTTACTTGCTTTCTAAGGACCAGCAGGCTATGTGAAGACTGTCTCCATTTGTACTGTCTTGACCCACATAGACTGTTTTATAACATGAATGAACTTGGGTACTAGAGGAATGGGCTATGCAAAAATCTGGGCTGTAGCTCCGTGAGGAAAATACGCAGAATAGACAATGGCAGGCCCATTTTCCATTGGGTGACCATCGGCTGGATCTGAGCAGAAGCTGCTTCCTTCAGGACAAGGTGCGTGCTCTCCAGCTCAGCTCAACCACCCTCATCCCTTTGGCCCTCCTTCTGTTCAGTTTGATAACCAACTCCCCTGCAGAACTTATGCTTTGTGATCCATGCATCATAACCACTTCACCTACATAGAGCAAGCACGTAAAGCTGTTATGTGAGATGGCCACACCATTCGCTGCTTCCATGTAACAGTGATCTTATCAGACTGTGTCCCTTGGGGAAACAGAGGCCTCACTGCTGAAATCTATAATCCATGTCACTTTTTTCCATGGCCATCCAAAGACCAGAAACTGAAGAGGCAGCCCTGCTCAAGGCTCATTTACCCCCTGAAGGCCAGAAGCTATTTAAGGCACCAGAGAACCCTGAAGGACTCTTGATGCACTTGTGATGATTCAAGATGCAGAGATTTTTGTTTTGTGCTGCCATGTTTGAAGGACTGCATTAGCATGCCAATTGGGCTTTCAGTGATCACACTTCAGATATTCCTCTACGAGTGGACTCTGGTGTCATGACAAGTCTTTACAGCCACACCAGGGCACATAAACGCACACACAATCAGTTGGCAAAGAATGTTCCCCAGATGCCAGGAGGACAGCTAGTCCATATAACAAGGGACCGTGGTACTTCCTCTCTGTGTCTATAGACTTGTTACAGGCAAGGAGCCAGATCTGATAAAGCATTTCTGAAAAGGCTGAGGAAGAGCAATCTTCCCTTCAAGGCATAACAGGGAGGCAAACCCTAATTTTGGTTAGCTGGGAAGTACGGCTGCCTTTAGAAAATGATGTTGACCCTTCATTAATGTGAAAACTCACTAAATGATACTTGACCCATTTATGATTCTTCTCCATCCTCTCACTCCTGATTGAGCTTACCCCGAATCTCTATGGTCAGAAAAAAAATGCTACAAGGTTCACAGTTCAAGTGAAGAAGTCCTCTTTGTCATTACTGGTCATCCCAAGCAGAGAAGACAGATTCATAATGAACACCTTAGTAGGAAAATATCCAAAACCATAAAGTTCTAACAGACATCTTAACCTTGACACAAACAAGACACCCAGAAATTTGGATTAGACAATCAGATCTGGGCCTTAGGCACTGGGTCCTGTGGCGTGGGCATGGCCTTTTGCTCAAACACCACCTTCTCTCTGAAACCATCCTAATCTCAAGAGCAGGAAAAAGCCTTCCTCCTCTCTAGTAATCCGTTGTCTACTGGGAATGAATTAATTCATTTTTAAAGGGTGCGTGTTGCTCACAAAATTGAGATCTCATCACTGTGCACTTAGAGTCTGGAACAGTACTAGACTTGTGTCTGGCCAGTGCTTCTCGAAGGGGAGAAGGAAGGTGAAGGAAGGGAAGAAAGGAAACTCAAGCTGGATGCATCAGACACGGGGGTCTACCTACCTCAAAGGGCCAGCTCCTTCTAGAGGTCTTTGTGTGCACTGCTTCTGTGACTTGAGTATGATTTTCATTTTATTAGTGATGAGGACTAAATATCTTTCAAAAGACATCAGAACTCACTTTTGTCAGGAAGCACCCAGCACCTCTCTCTTGCCCGACCACCATTCTCTTGCTTTTCACTCTATTTACACTCTCAAATAACTGACTTATTACTCCGAGCTCAGAGACTTCTACTTCCAATGTTTTCTCTTGGTGACTAACTGAGCAACTGTAAAGCAAGAGTTTTCCTGTGTTCCTTCACCTGCTAAACTCTCAGCACGAAGCACAGACTTTTGGGTGAATGAATAGGTAATAAGAAATCTCCAACCCTTTCATGTTCATCTGTAAGACATCTACCTTAAATTTTAAGTTATTCAGGAATTTTATCTTAAGCAAACAGATCATCTACTTAATTGAGCTCTTATTTAGGGAGCTGTCTGAGTCCCATTTCCGGGTCACTTTTTGGTGGTGGTGGTGATGGTGGTGGTGGTTATCAAGGGAAAAGGAATGACTGATTTCAATGTCAGCCTCAAAAACAGTATAACCTAAAGGATAGCATATCAAAACTTCAGACCACTCCTTTCAAGTCAACTATCAATGACACCAGGCTTACTTTCTTAAGTATGGTATTTGTGCTCTTTAAGGGTTTCTGCATTTCCTTTATTGCACGAGATCACACAGAAACAGAAGAATAACAGATAATGGACCCAGCATTTTGAGATGATTATTGAGGTAGCATAGGGGGACTTTAAGATGACTAAGGGAAGACGGGAGTCAGTCAGACTCAAAAAACAACCGGGTGAGGTCATGAGATCAGCAGCATACTGACTCATTATTGAGCCTGTCGAGTTAGTATCCTGTAGGAAGCGAAGAAGGCTGCAAGGCTTTCATGATGAAAGGAGTGTAGTCAGCATCTACGCGTGTCTGTGCTCCATCACACAGACCAACGGGGCACACCAGCTGGGGGTGGGGGGAGAGATTGAAGATGGTCACCAGGAAGGATGTAAATTGGTGGCTAATTTTATATGAGCTGTCAAGGTGCCTTACTTCAAATGTTTTTGATGATGTAATGTACATAACCAGATGATGTTGCTGCTGCCTCCTCCTTCTCCTCCTTCTTCATCCTCCTTTCACCTCCTCTCCCCACTTCCTCCTCTCTCTCCTTCCCCCTCCTGGTGTGTGTGTGTGTGTGTGTGTGTGCGCGCGCGCGCGCACGCACAAATGCACTGTGTTTATGCACATACACATGTGTGCATACACCTTCATTGTTAATTTGGTACCAAGTCAAAGTGTGGATGTTATTGCTAGCCATCAACTCTTTAAACTCATGCGACAGACACTAAAAAACACAAAAGAAAACCAACAGTGGTGTGATTCTCATTGCATTCTTTTTGCTTTCTGATCCGTACGAGACAAAGGACTCCCAATGACTCCGGAAAAAAAAAATGAGTCCCGATCCAGAACGTGTTTACCATTAACCAGAGATTTTATTTTGCTCCATTGACGGCTTTGATTTTCAGTGAGCCTTGGATTGAGACCACTAGATCCCAGAGGATACCAGGCGCGTGGCCACTTAACCAATGGTGCAGGAAAACACAGAAACAAGAGTTAAGGAAAACCAATCAAAGCACAAAGCTACAACATCCTACAGTAATTAAAGTTTTAATGCACACTCAACTAAAAGAGGCATAGAAGGATGACAGAATCTCTGTTCACAGGCAGCCAACAGGATTGGAATTTATCAAACAAACGTTCAGGTTGTGCATTTAAAGATTACAAACCATTCGAGTTGAAGGGGGAAAAAAAATAAAATCAACAATGGAAGCATCAATGACCTTAAAATGGGATGAGATGATTAAAAAAAGAATTCAAGTATCGTTGTAAAGTTCTTCAGACATATCTTGGAAAAGTTGGTGTATTTCCCATCTTTGCATAGTAAAAAACAAAAGAGCAACATCACTTGGCAAAACTCCACAGCTCTATGTGATTCATGGCTCAAACATGCACCTATGTGTACGGCTCACTTGGCTGGGAGGAGCAGCTCTAATTCAGTGGGCTCATGCACTACCCCGGGTGAGCAAGGAAGTTAGCGCACACCTCCTCACCCAGGGGTCATTAATGATCGCAGCAAAAGTCTAGCCCGTGAAATGGGAACTTGGTCATCACTGAACACTCTTGTTGGGTAATGTTAAATAATGGTAGGCTTGTGCTTTGAATCCAAATTACTAAGAAGGAGTATTCACACCACAAAATAAGCAAATGATTGGCATGTGCAAGAGAAAATGTAGCAAAGAGTTTGAAACTACATAACCTAACACCACTGAAAATGATTCTAAGCCACTGCATACAGTATGATTGCACTACCCTCCATGTCCGTACACACACAGCTTTAAAGCTTGTGCATTTTACATATACACACGAATAATTTAACATTGGAGCATAGGTTTGGTTACCTATGAAACTGTCAGTGTAACAAAAAGTTATACTGACATTTGTCATATGTACATAACATTTGGGGACCACTGTGGTCTGATTTAAAACATAACATCGCACATTTACAATGTTGTTTGTGAGATGCTCCCAAGTTAACAATAGAGATCTGTTTTGTAACGGGCGTGGGTTTTGTGTCACATAAAGTCACCGCGGTGCCTCGGAACTAGTAGTGAAATGGGTACAGTGTGGTTGGCAGCTGCTTGTATCTCATAGTGAAGCGGACCCCTAAGCAATGCAACAACAGGGAGAGATACCAAGTCATCTGAGTTTCCCCCAACCGTCCTCCAAGCGGAGGCACTGCCATTCAGTAAGGGGCACAATCTGCATCTTACAAAACCAGGAATAAGGCCAATACACCTTAGAGATAGCCCTGTTGTTGCTATAGAAGCAAAGAGCAAGTTCAAGCCAAAGACTGCATACCTGCATAGCACCTGTTTCTCAGAAAGCCATCCGAGGATTACGATGTTAGGTTATGGTGTGGGGGAGCATATAGCAATCGCGATGTCTGCCCTGTGAGTGTGAAACTTCAATAACTAAAGGTATCTTTGGAGGAAGGGTGAGGGGGGGGTAACTCCAGTTTTAAGCCATCCATTTTCAGGAAATCCTCCCTTCTACTTGAAAAAAAATTGTAAAACTTACTGCATGAGTCTTGCTGGAAAGGGGTTTAGAGCTAAATGTAGAAAAGAACTCAGGGCCGGGAAGAAATGCATAGTTCCCTTGGATGACGTCTTCTTCCTGAAAGAGGGACTGTGGGGCCGTCGGGGCTCTTGGGGTTCTGGGTTCTAGAGGGTGGTTCACTGAAGCTATCATGCACAAGTCTGGACATCTAAAACAAAGCCGGGAGGGAATTTCTTCAGGAATGGGTTCCCCCTAACACTTCAATGGAAGCTATCCTGGCAATATGTTAAAAAAAAGAAATGGGTAAAGATGAGGGAAACTCGGAGAGTTTGGGGGTGCCAAGGCTCTCTCTCCCCATCTAATGGAGGAAAATGAAGAGTGTGGGCTCCTCTGTAGTGGAATCCCATCACAGTCCACCAGAGTCCATGGGTCAGAAAAACATGGAGGGCCAAGTGAGTCCCCGAGATCACCATGCCCAATGACAGGCCAAAATGACCAGAAGGCTACCTGCTACTCTGCCCCACCACACTGGGGTCCTGTCACGCAGGTTCTGAGGCAGAAAAGCAGAAAGGAAATTTGACAAAAAAAAAAATACATAGGAACAGAATGGAGAGCTTAACTTTTCTCCAAGCTTTCAACATGTACAGATTATTAATTTTTATTTAAGGCTTTAAGTTTCTCCTCCTTTCACATTTAAGACAGGGAAAGAGAACTGGCTAAACCACAAACTAAAATCATGAGCTTGGCACTTTTGTGATTAATTTGAGAAGGGCCTCTGTTTTCTTACATTATATACATGTGCTTAGGATGACATCAAAAAGTTTAGACTCATCAGTACATATATACTCACATTTACATAATTTGTGTTCTTGATATGGGTTGTTTTGTGTCCTCCGCTTTTTTTTTTTTCTTTTTGGTTTCAAGCAGACTAGCTTTGTTCTGTGCCCAAACTCCCTTCATCTGGGGGCTACATCTGTCTTGTTAAGCAAGCCCAGCAATCACTGGACATGTTATAAGAGAGGACAGAGAAAAAGAAGGAAAGAAAATGAGAGAAAGAAAGGAAAAAGAGGATGTGGAGCAAGCAACAAACTTGTGTAGAGAGAATCTTTGCAAAGAAAAACATTTCAATACAGACAAGTGGAAATGGCATGTCAAAATCTCTTATTTCCATATTTACACTTATAAAAGGACTATACAATAGCATTGTTCCAATTCCAGCTCCCATTTCCAAAGGATGCTTGGTCCAGGAGAGAACATGACGGGGAAAAGAGCATCAACAAGAGTACAGTCTGGCTGAGTGCTGCCCTGGGCTGGGCTGGAGTGGGCAGGGACGTGGAGTCGAGGGAGAGGGAGCCGAGGGGATGGAGTGGGGTGGGGGGGATGCACTATCCAGGCCCAGGCAGCGTCTGCGTGTTCATCTCTCATCTTCCCCTTAGGACTTCCACGGTAGGTTTTGCTGAAGATCGGCTTGCTAGCTTGTTGTTATATATGCCATGCAGTTTTTACCCTTTCCAAAATTGGATCTTCATGCCACTGGAATTTGTCTTTGATAGTAAAGGGGAAAAAAATCATGCCAAATCACTTAGAAGATATTAAGTGTCAGCAGGCTAAGGGGGAAACCATTTGCTACGTGTTCTTTTATTGCGCTTTGCTGCTGTTCCTTTCTCCTTCAGTTAAAAAGAAAAAAATAAAGGATTCTGAAGTGTGTGTGTGTGTGTGTGTGTGTGTGTGTGTGTGTGTGTGTGTGTGTGTGTGTTTTAATGACATGGTCTTTAACCCCTCCCCTTTATTGACAGGTGATAGGAGGGTTTACTTGAAGTTATATCCAAAAGGGACAGAGATGTCTTGGACCCCATTCCCCATTCCCACATTTGAGCTGTGCAGTCATTACCACCCAATGGTCTTGTTTACAGACTCAGGAGTTCCGGCAGCATGGCTGAAAACACGTCATACCCAGAACCCAACGGTGCAAGGTGGCATCCCCCCAGTGCCGCTGGTTCAGATGGGGCCCTGCTGAGTGGGATCGAACCTCCTCTTCTTGACGTTTCTTCCAGAGGACATTAAAAAGAAGATACAGGGAGAGGGAGAGAAAAGCCACAATATTAACCAGATGACGGTGACAGATAAACGCCCACAACGACAATGATGCCAGTCCCAGAGTGGAGTCACGAGCTCACACGGAGGCAGTCTCCTAAGCGACCCCAAACACAGAAGAGCTAACGTTTTTGGAATGTCGTCACACTTCCCCCACGAGACGACACTCTTTGGGGAAGATCCAGAGAAACTTCAAATTGTTCACTTTCGATCACAAATTGGCTTAATTTTAGAAGCAAAATCCATCGCTAGTTCATTAGCGGAGACGTTCTGCAGGATAGCCTGCCTCTTCCGTGTTCCCTCCCAAGAGAATTATGAAAAAACTCACAGTTGTTTCCTCCAAGCCTCCAGAGTTCACCAGGCTCTCACCAAGGTGGCAAGAAACAAAAACCAAAAAAAAGCCAACCTTGCTGTGCCTTGTTCTTTCTGCCTTGGGTGTGTGAGGTCGTAGCCCACTATGGAACAAGCCCTTTTCATGGCGGAAAGGTGGCAGACAGAGCGCACAGGGAGGCGGTACACTCAGGAGAATGGACACATGCCTGGGTTAGCCAAGCCAACGCAGCAGTTCAGCTCTGGTGAGAGAAGCAAGTTCAAATGCCTTGCTCACAGTGTCCAGTCTCCTAAAAAGTGGCTCCTGTGCTTGAAGAGAGAGAGAGAGAGAGGAAAACCAGCAAGACACCACAGGGCAACAACGTGAGTCGGCTCTAACCTCCCCACGGTCTGGCTTCATGTGGGGCATCAAGCAGGGGGCTCATGCATTTAGTCTGCATACTGGTGGGCGCAGCGCTGCAACTTGCAACCACCAAGGCATCATGCAACACCGGAGGCCGAGGAGCCCTCCGCTCCCTCATTTCCCTGCCCACTTACTCAGGGCCAACCGGATGCCTTCACGGGCCCTAAGCCCCCAAATATTACAACAGACTCCTCCTCACGCATGTGTCCTTCAAAACAGAACCACTACCAAAGTTTAAAGTACGTAGAAAAGTGCCCTGCAAAGTTCTTATCTTTCCCAGCAGGCCCACTTGGATGCTTCTCTTTTGAAATATCAAGCCTTGCCATCTTTGACAAAAATCTCCCTTTTCTTTCTTCCTAAACTGCCCAGTGAAACACTTTCTGTGAAAGCTTAGGCATGTGGTACTTTGGCTTAACGACTTAATTCCCTGCAGCAAGGACTCTTTGCATTAGAGTTACTGACTCCTCTTACCACCCAGTCCTCTGTGCAGTCAACGATCTTGAGTGCAGGCCTTGCTGACTGCACAGGAAGGTAAGAACGTGTGCAATGTCTCCATAATGTGTCTGTCACCAAATGAACTTGCCGTGGGGCTCAAGACCTGCATCTGCCATCAAGAGCAAATATCTGCCATCTGAGAAGATATTTAAGAGAGGCGTTTCCTACTAAAGACTTGGGGGAGAGAAACACCAATGCCTAACCCTGAGAAATTACCCTAGAGAACCAGGGACCTTACCCAAGCCAGCTGCGCATCGCTGGAACTCAGGAGAAATATCAAACTAGCTCAACTAACGTAAACACCAAGGGCAGAACAACCCGACTAGCACTGAACAGGACATGACCACATTACCCATCTCTAAGTTCTTACATTCAAACGCAGGGAATATCCAAGGTCACAACAACCAGGTGGCATGTTTTTAAAGAGAGATCTGAAATTCTCCTTCAGCCTGGCACCCAGGAAACTCTAGTGTCCAAAAGTGTATGTTCCTCTTGCACGTCAGTTTGTGAAGCTTTGTGCTCTTCCCATAGAACAACATTCTAAAGAGTACTAGGTTCTTTGGTCAGACTGAGAAGGGGTTCCCTATAGGACCCTATATTTTCACTGAATAGTACCGACAACAGACTGGAGGAGATTTTCTCTTCTACTCCAGCAGTGGAGAAAGCAAGCTATGGTGCCAGGGAGAGGGAAACCAGAGAGGAGCAGAGAAGGCTAACTCAGCAAGCCCTCTGTGAGGTTCCCTCATAAGTAAGAGCATCCACTGTGGGCCACCATATGTCCAGCACTGCCTGTCCTGAATTTTCTATATGAACCTAGAGCTCTTTTTGTTCAGTTCTAATGTGAAAGTGAAAACTATAATGGCCAGGTCCTTGCTGGCTCCCTTCCCAAACCGTTTTGTCTGAATGCCCTCTACTCACTGGCTTTCGAAGGCAACTTTGTTATCACAACCAGAAAGGTATTTCTGGACCATTGTAAAAATATCAATGCAATCCCTTTGTCTTACAATGACAGCATTTTTTTTTTTTTGGTCAATTTTTTGTCCTTGTGGGAAATCTAAGCTTTTGCCTATAATGCATGTAATTATGTACATACACATACAAACATTAAAAATCCCTAGGTAACAACATCTACCATGTGTCTTCTGACAAGGACGTAGAGTTACCTACTACTATTGCCTTTAAAGGAATTATGTGTAGGGATGCTTTGCCTGCAACTATGTACATGCATTCATTCACACCCAGTGCCCTGGGATTCAGGAAGAGAGCACCAGAGCAGCTGGAACTGGAGCTTTAGACAGCTGCAAGCTACCACGTGGGAGCCAAACCCCAGTCCTTTGCCAGAGCACCAAGTGCCCTTTACTGCCAAGCCATCTCTAGCCAGCTATTGTCATGTTCTTTATCTTAGTCCCCATGCCCATCACCAACCCCCCGCCCCCCCCACACACACACAGACAGCTAACCTCTAGGCCACCTTAGATTGAGCTCATGTCCTTAGGGGTGTGAGTCAAGGAAGCACACACATGTTCCTGGTTGGCCCGACATCATGGTGATGTGTGAGGAATAAAGTGCCTAACCCATGGGCCTTGGACAACAAGGCAATGTGGCTCTGTGTTCTGCACTGGAATATGACGCAGAATTTAGAAGGAAAGGCAACAATTTAGTTACCATGCTCACAGAGACTCTGGTTAAAATGTATTCCACTTCCTAACCGTAAGAGAATTAAAATACTTCCCTTCCCCACCGAGATTCAGGTATTTTTCTGGCTATTGACCTTCAACCGTCATTTTAAAGGACCACCTGTGATAACCTTTTCTTTGAAGAAGAAATAGAACAGAATGGAGCCCAGGCTAACAAACACTGGCTTAGAGCTCAGAGAGGGTGCTAACGCAAGTGCTTCCCCAGACAGAGAACCACCTGTGACAATTGCAGGCTTTAAAAAAGGAGCATCTTGTCAGGAACTGCCCTAAGAACTTAATACAATCTCTGCCGGTAATGGTGGAAACCCGCCTTGCCATTGGAACCCATGGAGACCAGGTGGGATAGCGGAGCAAGTGATAAGATTCCAATGCTGAAGACATTGTAGTATGGTGGAAGGGCCCACACTCATTCCGGAATCAGTCCCAGCGAACTACCTGACTGTCACCTTCAGGTCCTTTCCTTGCCCCACCAAGAACTTCTCCCCCCCCCCCCATTGCTATCACTTGTAATATTGATAAATGTTGTGCACATGAGCTCACATCTAAATTCTTGTATTCTAATTTAGGGAGTTGTACTGGCTAGTTTTATGTCAACTTGACACAAACTACAGTCATCAGAGAGGAGGGAGCCTCAGTTGAGAAAAACACCTCCATAAGATCGGGCTGTAGGCATTCTTAATGCTTGATTGTAGGTGGGGCCTCCCCTGGGCTGGTGGTCCTGGGTTCTATAAGAAAGCAGGCTGAGCAAGCCATGAGGAGCAAGCCAGTAAGCAGCACCCCTCTGCATCAGCTCCTGCCTCCAAGCTCCTGCCCTGTTTGAGTTCCTATTCTGGCTTCCTTCAATGATGGACTGTAATACAGAACTGTGAGACAAATAATCCCTTTCCTCCCCAAGTTATTTTTTGGTCATGGTGTTTCATTGCAGTAGTAGTAACCCTAACTAAGACAGGGGTGTTGCATAAATAGTTTTCTTCAAAGTAAATGCAGCCTTGTTAATTTTTTTAATGCATATGCAAAGTTTACATTCCATTTTCCCTAAACTTTGGGGAAGATGCTCCTAAGATAATCTATCATCTATTTCATTTGTTCAAATGTCCAGTAAAAACCAGTAACTCCAGTAGTTTAATTGAGTATCACTATTATTCAGCATGAATTAGGTATCAGGGGCCCATGAGTCAACCATGACAGAGGTTAGTGATCCCCCCACCACAGCTCACAACTGGAGCCGAGAAATATAAATGCAGCTGCAGGAAGAAAGAGGGCATGTTGGTGTGCCGTGGCCTATATTCATTTTCCATAAAATGCCTCAGAATTAACCACAAGATTCTCAACACATGGAAACTTACCCACTTGGTCATGCCTTAGTACCCTCAAGACCTCTAGAACATGGAGTATGGATTTACCCAACATTACTACATGCCCATTTTACATTACTCAATATATCTGAATACATGGATGCAGTAACAAACATCCCAACAAAGAGTACTTTTTCTCTCTCTCTCTCTTTTTAGGAATTCTACAACTTTGCATGTGGAAGTCCTGTGCACATTAACCAAATGTTTCAGACTTGACTATCTGACTAAAAAGAAGCAACCTAAATTTGTGTTGGTTTCAGATCACAATAGTTCTGATCAATGTGCATAGCTTTACGTACATAAGGTGCACATATCCATATCCTCCCAAAGTCCTATCTTTCGACACCGAGTGCAGAAGTGTGCTGTAAGGGAAGAGTCAGTAGGACAAGGGCAGGTGCCAGCATAGTTGTGTTTCTTGCTTGTCTTTGTCTGCCAGTTCAGGCAAAGGATGATGGTGCCGCTCTTCCGCCTCTGAATTACTCAGCCAATCACGTCTAAAGAATGTGACACCGGGAAAGTGTGCTCTCTCCCAACCAATCACTTGCCTCTGCTCTTTTCATTGCAACGTTTACCCCACCCTCAAAGGCTTCAGGCGACTTTGCTCTTTCCTCTTCTGGGAATAACGCCCCAGTTTCAGGAAGGATTTCCAACAGCGCTATCTAGAACAATCTTC